TTATTAATCAACCCCAATTAAATTTACTTTAAAAAAAACCCCGATCGTTATAATTCCACTACCCTTAAAAGAAGAATTCGTCCCGAATTCTAGAACAATTTAATATAGTTTGTACGGTTTCTCTTACCAAAAAGGTGGGGATAACGAGCCTTCATGTCGTCCTCCAACTCCCAAGTCGCATCTCCTCCTTTATGATGTGTCCACGTGACCTTTACTAGAGGAATTTCTCTTCTCCGCAGTTGTTTAACCTTTCGTTCAACAATTTCGATAGGTTCTTCTTCATAAGTCCCATCTGGTTTTAACTCAAGCGGTTGATAATCAATAATGTGATCAGGGTCAGGATGGTACTTCCGAAGCATGGACACATGAAACACATCATGAACTTGTGCCAACTCGGTGGGTAAGGCAACCTTATAAGCCACTGCTCCTATCTTACTCAATACCTTGAAAGGTCCAATGAATCTGGGTTTCAGTTTTCCCGTCATTCCGAAGCGTGCTTTTCCTTTAGTTGCTTGTACTTTGAGAAATACTTCGTCATTCTCTTGAAAAGTTGTCACGTCTATGTTTATCCGCGTAACTTTTCTGTCTATCCTGTGCTGCTTTCATTTGTTTCTGAATAATCTTAATCTTGTCTGTGGTTTCATCCACTATATCAGGACCTAACAATCGTCTTTCTCCAACTTCTATCCAACAGAGAGGTGTCTTGCAAGGTCTTCCATATAACGCTTCAAAGGGTGACATCCCGATACTTGAATGAAAACTATTATTGTAGGCGAATTCCACAAGTGGTAAGTGACGATCCCATTCTCCTCCCCAATCCAATACACACGCACGTAACATATCCTCTAGCGTTTGTATCGTTCTCTCTGATTGTCCATCAGTTTGGGGATGATAAGTTGTACTCAATCGTACCTTAGTGCCCATAGCCTCTTGTAAACTGTTCCAAAATCTCGAAGTAAATCGTGGATCTCTGTCCGACACGATACTAATAGGGATTCCATGAAGTCTTACCACCTCTTCTATGTAGACCTGTGCTAAACGAGGCATTGAGAATGTCTTTTTAATTGCGATAAAATATGCAGACTTAGTTAAACGGTCCACAATAACCCATATCGCATCATTTTCCTTTGGTGACCTTGGCAAACCAACTACAAAATCCATGGTCACCAAGTCCCATTTCCACTGAGGTATCGATAGCGACTGTAGTTTTCCTGCAGGTACCTGGTGCTCGGCTTTAACTAGCTGACACGTTAGACAATGAGTAACAAACTTTGCAATATCCTTTTTCATGCCATGCCAAAGAAAGTACTGCTTCAAATTCCGATACATCTTTGTAGTACCCGGATGTATAGAATATCGCGTATTATGCACCTCTTTCAATAACTCTTTCCTCAATTCTTCATCTTTAGGCACATAAGCACGACCTCTCAATAGTATCAACCCATCATTGGAAGTGGAATATCCTGCCCTTGTAAAATCCTCGGGCTTTTCCATCAATTCTTTCACCTTTTCATCTGTTTCTTGAGCCATCTTCACCTTTTCCAGCCAACTATCCCATTTTATAGCACTAGTTTCCAACCCATCTCGATTTTTCTGAGCTGATATCTGCATTAAACTCAATTGAGTTGTTAGATCACTTGCCAATCTCAAGGTAGATAACTCAACTTTCTTTCTACTCAAGGCATCTGCAACCACATTAGGTTTACCGGGATGATAGGCAATATCCACATCGTAATCTGCCACTAATTCCATCCACCTGCGTTGTCTCAAATTTAGTTCCTTTTGAGAGAACACATACTTGAGACTTTTATGGTCAGTGTATACTTGAATCTTTTCCCCGTACAAGTAAGATCTCCAAATCTTCAGTGCAAAAATCACAGCTGCAAGTTCTAAATCATGAGTAGGGTAGTTTTCTTCATGTTTTCGCAGTTGGCGTGATGCATACGCAATAACTCGGTCTTCTTGCATCAACACGCATCCTAACCCTTGGTGAGAGGCATCACTATACACCACAAACGGTTTTCCGGGCTTTGGTAATGCCAAAATAGGAGCTGATGTCAATCGCTTCTTCAACTCTTCAAAACTTATCTCGCATTTTTCGTCCCATTCAAACCTCACACCCTTTCCCGTCAATCTCGTCAATGGCTTAGATAGGTTGGCAAAACCCTTTACAAACTTTCTGTAATACCCAGCCAATCCGAGGAAGCTTCGAATCTCTATAGCATTAGACGGTCTCACCCAATCAACTATAGTCGACACTTTGGATGGATCTACTTTCACTCCTTCCGCAGATACCACATGCCCCAAAAATCCTACCTCTTGCATCCAAAAGTCACACTTACTCAGCTTTGCATATAACTTTTCTCTCCTTAAGCGTTCCAACACCTTCTCTAAATGTATCATATGATCCTCACGAGATTTGGAATACACAAGGATGTCATCAATGAAGATGATAACAAACTCGTCCAAATAATCCCTGAATGTTGTGTTCATCAACTCCATAAAAACTGCTGGTGCATTAGTAAGTCCAAACGGCATGATAACAAATTCAAAGTGTCCATACCTTGTTCTGAAAGCAGTTTTCTTTATATCATCATCTAGAACACGTATCTGGTGGTAACCTGATCGTAAATCAATCTTCGAAAACCAACTAGCACCTTGAAATTGGTCCAATAGCTCATCAATTCTTGGAAGTGGGTATTTATTCTTTATTGTTACCTGATTCAATCCTCGATAATCGATGCATAATCTCAACTCCCATCTTTCTTCTTAACAAATAGTACAGGAGCACCCCAAGGAGAAGTACTAGGTCTTATAAAACCTTTTCCAATCAACTCCACCAATTGCTTCTTTAACTCAGCCATTTCTGAAGCAGCCATACGATAAGGGACTCTAGAGATAGGTTCAACTCCCTGTTTCAGCTCAATAGGAAAAGATATCTCTCTTAGAGGAGGTATTCCATGTAGATCTTCCGGAAAGACATCAGGAAAATCATTAACAACCGGTATATCCTCTAGTCTACTTGATATTTCCGGTCCGTTTAATTCTATTACCGCCAAATATGCCTCACTCCCTTGTTGAATTAGCCGGTTTACCCGCACTGCTGAAATAAAAGGCAAACTTAAAGTCTTTCTTGCACCCTCAAACTCTAGTACTAAAGATCCCTCTTGTTCAAAACGAACTCTACCTCTCTTACAATCCAGGTGAGCTCGATGACTTGATAACCAATCCATACACAAAATCACATCATATCCCTTGATTGGTACCACTATCAGATGAACAGGTAAGTCATGTATACCAATCAGAACCGATACATCACGAATCATTTCTTTCGATTCCATTTCCTCTCCACCAGGTGTATGGACCAATACTCTACCACTATTAATATCAGGTGCAATCTTCATGCGATTTACGTGTGTGGGCGAAACAAAACTATGTGTCGCCCCTGTATCAAAAAGGGTATGAGCTTGTTCACCTCCAATACTCAACATACCTAAGAGAAGAAATGATATGTCCAATGAATTACGCCCATAACAAATTAACAACACCTACATTTAAAATTAGTCTTAACTAGCCATATTTGTTACGATTCCTTATCATATTTAAATGAAATATCGGCATACCTATGATTGGTGCCGTTTCTTCTTCCTCTTGCTCTTCAGTTCCTAGAGCATAGACTCTAGGTTTCACCGCTGGTCTCTTAGCAGCCGGTTGTTGATGAACTGGTCTTTGTTCAATCCTCTTAGGTGCTTCTCTTTTTAACTCGGGGCAATCGCTCTTGTAATGTTCCGCCCTTCCACAGTGGTAACAAGTGATCTGGAGCAATCTACACTCGCCAAAGTGACGTCTCCCACATTGTGAGCACATCGGGATACCGGATGTATAAGGTTGCATAACCGCTTTGCCCTTACTCTTGTCATCTTGGACTAGACGCGCCTATGACTGGGGTTAGTCGACCTCTTAGTAGATGCTTCGATTTCACGTTCTGTTCTCTCAGCTCGATCACCATATCAACTATTTCTGCCATCGAATTGATTTTCAACATTTCCACCTATGGATAAACAATCTCAAATTAGTAAGGTAACATTATCTCAATGAGATATATGTGGTTGTTTGAAACCTACCTTTGCCTTGAGAGATGGAAGAAGTCCTCTTACGAACTTCTTAACCCTTAAGGTCTCTGTTTGCAGCATCTCACCTCCATATCTAGCCAATGAATTGAATTCCCTCTCATATTCTTTCACTGAACGATTTCCTTGTTGAAGGCTAATAAGCTTCATCGCCATCTCCTCTTGTACTCCAGGTGAGTAATATTTCTCTCGAAATGCATGGACGAACTGTCCCCAAGTGAACTGATAGTTTACCCCAAATGGTTGGGCAACTCCTTTCCACCAGTGTCTCGCCTCTCCATCCAGATGGTAGATGGATATGTGTGCCCTAAAAAGATCAGGACACTGGATAAGATCAAATATCTGAGTCATCCTGTCCAACCAATCCTCGGCCACAGCTGGATCAGATGTACCACCAAATCTTGGAGCTGTACGACGCTCCACTCGATCAAGGAACTGGAAAAATTCCACATTCATCACAGGTGGTGCAGGTGCAGGAGCTGCAGCCGGTTGCACGGGAGGTGGAGGTGGTGGTACATAAGGCGGTGGTGGTGCAAGGACCGGTTGTGGAGCTGGTGCTGCTCCTTGTTGTCTCACAGTAGTGATGAGCTCCATCAGTAAATTCCTCATTTCTTGCATATGATCAGGCTGGGGAGGATATCCACATCTCCCCTCCTCTGGGACTGGACGTCCTCGTCCACGACCAGGTGCCATCCTACGTTCACATCATAGCAACCAATATTAGAATGGTTATTTTACCATAAACTGAGTCTCTAACAGAATACGAAGATTTTTGTTTAAAGTCCGATAGAAAGAGTGGGCCTCTGATACCATCTGTAACGACCCGAAATCCGGTATTTCGGATATCATTGAATCGTCACTTGGGTTATAAAAAAAATACGATTTACTCTAAAATCAACCATCAAAATCACATGTCTACAGCGGAAGTCTAAAATAACATAAGTCTAAAATTCTAAACTCGTAAAAATAGAAAATCAAATTCTTCGTGTTTCTGGCAACTATCGAGTCCAACCAAAACAATCTGTTTCAGCTTTCACCTGTGGGAAAAAAGGAAGGGGTGAGCTACGCGAATAGCTCAGTGAAGTTGCAAGACTATAA